AATTTTCCAATCTCATAGTCTTTGCAGTGATTCCAACGGGTAAAGAAGGCGAAGGCAAAGCCACGTGGAATGGTTCACACTGAGTTATTTACCCTGAGCAGCAGCCAGTTGGGGAGGGGGTAACGGCCTGCAGAATCCCCATAACTTCTCAAACATACGTCTGGAATTACATATTAATACAAAAGCAAAAGTCCTTCCTTTTGACTCCACCCAGCACCAATGTGAACCACCCCTCAGATCAGGAAGGTGGGTGTGTGTGTGGGGTTGGGGGTGTGGGTATAGGCTTGGTGGTGTATTTATTTCGCAAAGTCCTTCCTGGAAATGACTCTATTGCTAGTTACTTTGCCTCCAAATATGCACACACTCTATTTTGCCTCTATTATCAAAATTATGTAAATACCAGCATTTTTTCATTATATCTTAGAGACACCAATTAGTATTTAACTAATCTATTGCTGTTTTCACTTTGTCCTTATTATGTTCTGATTTTTGATGCCAGCCTGATTTTCTTCACATTATTAAGTCTATGTACTTCTAAAGTACAAAAGACCATAACACAATTACATACATTGTGGTCAGCTCACCTTACTATTTTATTTCTCAGCAGGATGATGCCAGATTTCCTCCGACTCTCAGCTCCATGTCTGATCAACATCCCTATATCTGCCTGCGGCACACAAAGGAATCTATTTTTTTGAGATAGTCTTGCTCTGTCGCCCAGGCTGGAACACAGTGGCGTGATCTCGGCTGACTACAACCTCCACCTCCCAGGTTCAAGTGATTCTCCTACCTCAGCCTCCTGAGTAGCGGGGACTACAGGCGCACACCACCACGCCTGGCTAATTTTTGTATTTTTAGTAGAGACAGGGTTTCATCGTGTTAGCCAGGATGGTCTCGATCTCCTGATCTCGTGATCTGCCCACCCTGGCCTCCCAAAGTGCTGGGATTACAGGAGTGAGCCTGTTTTCTTTTTTTGTTCTTGTTTTTGTATTTTTTTGTTTTGTTGAGACAGAGTCTTGCTCTGTCACCACGGTGGAATGCAGTGGTATGAGCTCAGCTCACTGCAACCTCTGCTGCCCAGGTTCAAGCGATTCCCCTACCTCAGCCTCCCTAGTAGCTGGGACTACAGGCGTGCACCACTACACCTGGCTAATTTTTTGTACTGTATTTTAGTAAAGATGGGGTTTCACCATATTGGCCAGGATGCTCTCGATTTCCTGACGTTGTGATCAGCCTGCCTCAGCTTCCCAAAGTACTGGGATTAAAGGTGTGAGCCACCAGGCCCAGCCAAGCCTGTATTTTTAAAAAGATAACCAGGCAGAGTGGCTCATGCCTGTAATCCTAGCACTTTGGGAGACTGAGGTGGGAGGATTGCTTGAGGCTAAGAGTTCAAGACCAATCTGGCCAATATAGTGATACCTTGTTTTTAAGAAAAGAAAAAAAACAAACTGGGCAGGACACGGTGGCTCATGTCTGTAATCCCAGCACTTTGGGAGGCTGAGGCAGGTGGATTACCTGAGATCGGGAGCCTGGGCAACACTGAAACCCCATCTCTACTAAAAATACAAAAAATGAGCTGGGTGTGGCAGCCTGCACCTGTAGTCTCAGCTATTTGGGAGGCTGAAGCAGGAGAATCGCTTGAACCCAGGAGTTGGAGGGTGCAGTGAGCCAAGATCACTGCACTCCAGCCTGGGCGACAGAGCAAGACTCCGTCTCAAAAGAAAGACAGAAAGAAAGAAAAAAAATGTGGCTGGGCAAGGTGGCTTACGCCTATAATCCCAGCAAGTTGGGAGGCCAAGGCAGGTGGATCACCTGAGGTCAGGAGTTCAAGACCAGCCTAGCCAACATAATGAAACCCCATCTCTGCTAAAAATACAAAAATTAGCTGGGCGTGGTGGTGCACGTCTGTAGCTACTCAGGAGGCTGAGGCGGGAGAATCACTTGAATTCGGGAGGCAGAGGTTTCAGTGAGCCAAGATCATGCCACTGCACCACAGCCTGGGTGGCAGAGTGAGACTTTGTCTCCAAAAATAAAAAAAAAAGTCCTGTTCAGCTACTATGAAATTTGATCTGCAGTTTGGCATATACCTACTCCCTCCCCTCTAGCCTAAGGAGGGCTGAATTTCCTGTTTGTGTTGGTCAAAAGCCAAAAAAGAATCCCAATCATCTGCTCTTCCAGAAAGATGAAAGAACTGTTTGTGTCCACATCAAAGATAAGGCCCTACAGCAATTCAGGAGACTATGAGGGCCTCCCAAGCACCAGCAGGCATAGCCACACAGTCCTGGCAGGTCTGATCTTTAATGCTTGAGCCCCACCAAGAATGAGGGAGTGCTCAGAGACGGCCCTGCAGGTAACAAAGTTGGCGGTCTGTGGCCAAAGTGACCCAGTAGTTCTTTTGGGTCAGTTTCATGGCTTCTTCAGACCTAAAAAGCTGCCACTGAAAGGGCCTTGGTCCCTTAGTCTTTGGTTAGTCCAAGCCTATGTTAGTCTTTCATTTCATTTACATCTAACCGGCCAAAGAGCCTTCACCTACTAGGATCCCCATGAATTAGTGGGCGACAGAGTGAGACTCCGTCTCTTAAAAAAAAAAAAAAAAAGTCGGCAGCTCACACCTGTAATCCTAGTACTTTGGGAGGCCGAAGGGGGTGGATCACTTGAGGTCAGGAGTTCAAGACCAGCCTGGCCATCATGGCAAAACCCCATCTTTATAAAAAAAGAAAGAAAGAAAAAAAAGCTACATAGGCCCCTTACAATTTGCCCACAAGGAGATTCCTTGCAGGCCCCCAAGATCTTTTTTCTTTTTTTTTGGCCCCCAAGATCTTTATGCTAAAACAGTTCTGTTGAATTTCACCCTGATAATGGACATTAATGGTTTATCATCACAAGCACAGGACAAGGGACAGAATTAAAAACTTATCCCTCTGTTCACCTGAGACAAACACATATCTGACTGCTGCCTCTGCCCTATGATGATTTTATCTTATGTGAAAATTGCAGATTAACTGAGCATGAGAGGAAGGCATCAGTGAAGACTAATCAAAGACTTAGAGGAAGACGCATGGACACATGGAGGGGGAAAACAACACTCACTGAGGGCTGTCGGGGGTGGGGGTAGGGGTAGGGAGAGCATCATGAAGAATAGCTAATGGATGCTGGGCTTCATACCTAGGCAAGGGGTTAATCTGTGCAATAAACCACCATGCCACACGTTTACTTGTGTAACAAACCTGCATATCCTGCACATGTACCCCAGAACTTAAAAGTTGATGAAAAAGGCCAGGCATGGTTGCTCACGCCTGTAATCCCAGCACTTTGAGAGGCCGAGATGGGCAGATCACCTTAGGTTGGGAGTTTGAGTCCAGCCTGGCTAACATGCTGAAACTCTGTCTCTACCAAACATATAAAAATTAGCTGGGAGCGGTGGCGGGCGCCGGTAACCTCAGGTACTCAGGAGGCTGAGGCAAGAGAATCGCTTCAACCTGGGAGGCGGAGGTTGCAATGAGCCCAGATCATGCCACTGCACTCCAGCCTGGGCGACACAGCGAGACTTTCTCTCAAAAAAACAACAACAAAAAAACCCCACTCAGCACCCACATGGAGGGACCAAATTTCCCTACTTGTACCTATCTGTTGAAATCAGACGTTAGATGTGCCTGTCTCGAGGGCCCTAACAGCTCAACAGTTGTGGGACGCCATTTGGCCAAGTTTGAAGGGCTTTAAAATGCAGTTTGAGAGGACAGGGAGCAGGTAAGAAAAGGGAAGCCAGTATAGAAGGAACTGAGCGGAGAACGTGGGCTAGCCGGGTTCAACACTTGTCCTTATGGCTTCGCCCTTTCTGTGTCGGACCACCGCTCTGAAACCTTGTTCTCCTGAGTGCTGGGGTCTTCTCAGGGCTTTCTGAGGAACGCCGTTTAAAGGCAGCCAAAAGCCCACGGGGTCCACTGGGGCTCCATGCACATTTTTTCTTTTTCTTTTTTTTTTTTTGAGACGGAGTCTCACTCTGTCGCCCAGGCTGGAGTGCAATGATGCAATCTCAGCTCACGGCACCCTCCCCTCCCGGGTTCAAACGATTATACTGCCCCAGCCTCCCGAATAGCTGGGATTACAAGCGCGCACCACCATACCCAGCTAATTTTGTATTTTTCGTTGAGACGGGGTTTCACCTTGTTGGCCAGGCTGGTCTGGAACTCCTGACTTCAGGTGATCCGCCCACCTCGGCCTTCCAAAGTGCTGGGATTACAGGAGTGAGCCACCACGCCCAGCCTCCAAGCACATTAGCAACGGCTGTGCTTGGCCAGGGACGGTGAAAATATACGGTTCACAAAATGCACCTCAGTGTGAACCAAGCGTAGCTGAGGGGGCTTTAACCTAATGGGGACATCGACACCTCACCAACTCCCGAAAGAAAGGGACACGGCGCATCCATCATGGCTGCCGGAGACAGAGCAGCGAGAGACAACCAAAAGAAAATGGCGCCGGGGTCCGCCGCCATTCTCAAACGGCCCAGGGCGGCGGGGCGAGAGGGCTGCCAGCACCATATAGGAAGATCAGTCAGGGAACTTAAGACCCTTCCGGCTTCTGGCACCAGGAGACCCTGAAACTTGATAACAATATGGAGGACGGTTATTGTCTCTGCAAAGCAACTTCCACAAGCTGGCCGCGGGGTCTGACCAGAGATCGGAATCCGGCAAAATCCTCTATTCTCTAAACAGAATGCGTTACGCATACTGCGCATCTTCGCAACAGCGGGCCGGCAAACGACGCAAAGAATGTTACGTCGCACCGGAGGCTTTTCCTCCCACCTCACCCCACGTTCTAGTTCAGGAGGCGCGAAAACTCTACGCTCACTCCGTACTTTGTTTTTCTTATACACACCGCAAAATACCGCCATCGTCGCAACTGACGTAAAGTGCTTCCAAGAATACCCGTAGTACTCCGCGGAGCCCTCGGGCTATTCCAAGACGCTGTTTACGTATCCTCTCCGCCGTACGTAGCGTTAAGTTGGAGCAGACTCAGCGGCGGCCGCCATTTTGTGCAGTCGCTGGGAAGGAAGGAGACGCCTAAACCGCGGCACTGCCGGGTTTGAGCGTAGCCAAACCTGCCCACCGGCTTTATAGCCCCGATTCTCTGTGTTTTGCTCCCGTCTCCGACGAGAGAGGCGGCGACGGTGGCGTCTGCGACGGGAGACAGCGCGTCGGAGCGAGAGAGCGCTGCGCCTGCCGCCGCCCCAACAGCGGAGGCGCCGCCGCCATCGGTCGTCACCAGACCGGAGCCGCAGGCCCTCCCGAGCCCGGCCATCCGTGCCCCGCTCCCAGATCTCTATCCGTTTGGGACCATGCGCGGAGGCGGCTTTGGGGACCGGGACCGGGATCGTGACCGTGGAGGGTAAGGGTGGGGGAGGAGAGGAGAGGCCTGGCGTGGGGGTGGGGAAGTTGCTTTCTGGGTAGGCCCAGCGGACTGCGGGCCTGAGAGCCTTGCTCTCGACCCCGGGAGGCGAGGCGAGACGGCGGTTTCGTTTGCGGGCCTCGGACCAGGGTCACTCGGACCCGGGAAGGGCGGCGGCTTGGCGACGCTGGGCCTCTTGATGCGGACGGCCGTCGTGGCGCGGTCCGGCCTCGTCCCAGCTGCGCGGGGGGAGGGGAGGGATCCGGAGGGCGGCCTGGCCGCGGCAGCCCCGGCCGGGGTGTCGGGGCCTCGCCTGACTTGCCGGCTCTTCAGTCTGGCCTCTTCGGGCGGGCCGTTTGATGTCTCCAGGCCTCGAACTTCATCTGGAAAAACGGATCTTCCTAAGAGAAGACTTCAGCCCGGGAAAACCTTTCACGAAATGGCAACCTTGACATTCGGTCCCTAGAGTTCACTTTATGGCACTGGAAACCAAAAGACCGACTTTTTATTTTTAAAAATAGATTTTAATCCTTTTCAGTCACATTTTAAGTGGGAGAAATACATTGGGATGTAAAGCAATGGAGTTCCCATCTGAATGATCGTGTTTAGGGGAAGGAGAGATTTTGGGGTCGTTTAGTTTTAATTTTATTATTTCAGCCTTTTTTTTTTCCTAATTGGACAGCAGCATCAACTGTTCGGTGTCTCTAGAAAGTTCTTGGTGTTGTGGGCCGGGCGCGGTGCCTCACGCCAGTAATCCAGTACTTTGGGAGGCCAAGGCGGGCCCGACTCCTGAGGTTAGGAGTTCGAGACCAGCCTGACCACCATGGAGAAACCCCGTCTCTACCAAAAATACAAAATTAGCCTGGCGTGGGGGCACATGCCTGTAATCCCAGCTACTTGGGAGGCTGATGCAGGAGAATCGCTTGAATCCGGGAGACGGAGGTTGCAGTGAGCAGAGATCGCACCATTGCACTCCAGCCTGGGCGACAGAGCGAGACTCCATTTCAAAAAAAAAAAAAAAAGTAATTGGTATTATAATGCCAGAATTACTGGGTTGGAAGTTAACATGGGTTTAAACCTAAAGTTCCCAGATAGATTTAAATTTTACTGGTAAAAGAAAATGTCGCTTAAGAGATGTTCTTATTTGTGCTACCACTTAGAAGAGCGGTGTCTGGACAGGCCGGGTGCAGTGGCTCACGCCTGTAGCCCCAACACTTTGAGAGGCTGAGGTAGGCAGATCATGAGGTCAGGAGTTTGAGACTAGCCTGGCCAATATGGTGAAACCCCCATCTCTACTAAAAATACAAATAACCGGGCTTGGTGGCGCACACTTGTAATCCTAGCTACTTGGGAGGCTGAGGCAGGAGAATCGTGTGAACCTGGGAGGTGGAGGTTGCCGTGAGCCGAGATCGCACCACTGCACTCCGGTCTCCTTCGAACTCCCCCCGTCCCCCAAAAAAGTAAAGTGAGGCCACTAAGAGAGAGAGAGAGAGAGAGAGAGAGTGAGAGAGAGAGAGAGAGAGAGAGAGTGTGTGTGTGTGTGTGTGTGTGTGTGTGTGTGTGTGTGTGTGTGTGTGTGGCGGGCCTTGTTCAAGATCTCGAAACCATTGTAAACCTGTTTCCTCCTCTGAGGAAGGGGTAATTGCTTTTACTTTGATGTGTTGTCAGTAATTAAAAGATAATGGATGTAATTGTCTGTCGTAGGGCTCTGTTAACGATATTTTCTCCAAACATTTTTGTCTTTTGTGGTTCAGATACACAACTACCAGATTTACTAGCCACAACCACTTCAGTTGCCACTTTTTACAAAATTAAAATTTTGATTTATACCTTATTAGGAAGGAAAATAGTTGATCTCATTTTAAGTTTAGAGGTGGGATGTTTGCTCAGTGTTTTGCTGTATTGCTAAGTTTAGAAGTGAATTTCGGTACAACCAGTTAGAAAAATAATTTGACATTATCTAGGAAAGTTGAAAACAACCCAGAAATTCCTCCCTAAGCTTTATACCCTACACTGTAATGCCTAGAGCAATCCTTGCACACTTGGCCCAGCATCCTCATACAGAAAAATTTGTATACCAGCATTCATGACAACAGGATATTGGAAACAACTCAAATGTCTCAAGTTGTGGGTAGTTGTGCCATTGAATACAATTGAATGGGGAGGGGGGGAGAGAACTTGGATTAGTGTGAATAAGTCACAGACGTGTTGAGTTAAAAAGCAGGTTGTGGTAGGGTGACACATTAAAGGTTATGTGCAAAAATGACAGGATTGGCTAACAAAATTGAAGGTAGTGGTTATTAGGGTGAAAGTTGTAAACGTGAAATAGGCACATAGAGGGGCTACAAGGTACTAATAGTGTTCTATTTCTTTATAATGGGTGTTTGGGTTAATACTTCCTTTCCCCATATATATGCTTTAATAAGTTACTTGAAAGGAGGAAAAAGGTGAATTATTGATCCATACTTGACTCTGAGTATCAGATGACATTTTTTAAAAATTTCAAATGAACTGGCCTTTCAAGGTCTGCCCCAGCTCTCTCTCTCCCAAGACATGCTCTTCATTTGAATTGCTGTTCTACTCTTAACTGAATGTTACACAGTTGAAGTGGTGGTTACTTTGAAAAGGAAATGGGTGAGGTCATTTCATGTATTTTACATGTGTGATGCAAAAATGGTAGGCATTGTACATTCGAAGTAGTATGATTTTTAATGTTAACATGAATCTTCAAAGCTGAATTTTTTTGCAAAGCCAAGTTAAATTGCTGACTGTTAATTGCAGCAATTGTTAATTGCTGACTGGATAAAAACATTTCAGGGGCATACTATACCAGAGTACGATGTGTATTTTAAAGATATCATGGATATGCTCAAAAGTAAAAGGTTTTCTTGAATTTTGAGGTCATTGATTATGTCAGCATTAATTGTAAACATGGAAGACAGCATATTTTCCAAGAACTCCATGTTTCAAATTAGATGTTTAGCGTAGAGTAGTGTATCTTGAATAGCCAGAGAAATATGGAGAGAGGAAAAAAATACATAAATGGTAATGAGGTAATGATTAGTTTAAAGCCCTACCAGGAACCTTACTTTCAAAAGTTTTATTTTTTTCCTAGATTATTAAGGTTTGGGTATTATTGCAGTACAGCAGTACCAATGAAATACTTTATAGTTTGCAGGAGTGATAATCCAAAGACTGTACTTCTTGAAAAGTGCCTTATTTAGCTGCTTCATTTGCAAGTGTGGGGGGTGGCAATTGAGGTGGCCTTTTGGTCTGTTCACTATTGCACTATTGAGCCTTAAGCTGAGGAGCATATTAAAGATGTTGATGTGTATCCCGATGCTATGTTCTCTCCCTGTTCTGATTCTTAATTTGTCTTACTGCCTCAGCAGTGGTATAAAGAATTAGCCAAGTTTTACTTGTTGAACGTAAGTATCCAGTGATCCCAATAAAATTTTCCTGTCATCAATTTTTGTTACATTTGTGTTTAGAGGAATGTCTAGCGGGTTAAGCCAGAGTTCTAATGCTTTGAATTGCAGGAAATTGAGGCCCTGTAGAATAATACATCTGCTGCAGCCTGTCAGTTATAAAGTGGAACTTTATATAAGATCATGTTAGGCCGGGCGCGGTGGCTCAAGCCTGTAATCCCAGCACTTTGGGAGGCCGAGGCGGGTGGATCACAAGGTCAAGAGATCGAGACCATCCTGGTCAACATGGTGAGACCCCGTCTCTACTAAAAATACAAAACATTAGCTGGGCATGGTGGCGCGTGCCTGTAATCCCAGCTACTCAGGAGGCTGAGGCAGGAGAATTGCCTGAACCCAGGAGGCGGAGGTTGCGGTGAGCCGAGATCGCGCCATTGCACTCCAGCCTGGGTAATGAGCGAAACTCCGTCTCAAAAAAAAAAAAAAAAAAGATGATGTTATGGCCAGGCGCGGTGGCATATGCCTGTAATCCCAGCACTTTGGTTTTGGGAGGCCGGGGCGGACAGATCATGATGTCAGCCCGGTGAACATGGTGAAAACCCATCTCTTTCCCCCCCCCCCAAAAAAAATTAGCTGGGCTTGGTGGTGCACACCTGTAATCCCAGCTAATCTGGAGGCTTGAGGCAGGAGAATTGTTTAAACCCTGGGGGGCGTAGGTTGCAGTGAGCTGAGATTGTGCCACTGCACTCCAGCCTGGGTGACAGAGCTAGCCTCTGTCTTCGGATGGGGAGATGATGTTACAAGTGGGTTAGAGTGGGAAGAGGAACCTAAATTAAGTACAGTATATTACAATGAGTAAAGAAATTGTCAGTGAGAAAAATGCTATACAGTTTGTATGCCAAACAAAGCCCTGCACTTAACAAGATTGAAATAGGGAAGATGAAGGCCATGATAGTGTTAAGATATTTCTAGGAAAAGTAGCTTCTGATTTGTTAAATTTTAGCTTAGGCTAGTGGTCATACATATTTGTATTCCCCTTGAGCTTGTCTGTTGTTGTGAAAGGTATGTAAAAAGCAGGAAGTTGATCTTGAGTAATTAGTTAACTTTTAAAACCTTAAATCTTGTTAGTGGCTTTTCTGTACATTAGTAATACTGTTTGGGAACAAGGAGAAGATACAAGGTACAAGTAGAGACGAAGAAGGAGAGGTCGTAAATCTATGTTCGTAAATCTATGTTCAGCTTTTTGTTTTGTTTTTTTTTGAGATGGAGTCACCCTCCATCTCCCAGGCTGGAGTGCAGTGGTGCCATCTCAGCTCACTGCAACCTCCGCCTCCTTGGTTCCAGCTGTTCTGTGGCCTCAAGCCTCCCAAGTAGCTGGGATTACAGGCGTGCACCACCAGTGTTTAGTAGAGACAGGGTTTCTCCATGTTGTCCAGGCTGATCCAGAACTCCTGACCTCAAGTGATCTGTCTGCCTCTGCTTCCCAAAGTGCTGGGATTGTGAGCCACTAAACGTGGCTTGTTCAGCTCTTTTATTAGAATAAGCTAAAAATGAAGACCAGCCTACGAGGAGTGCTCTTCACAGTTTAAAGGGGGAAGGGCCCAAGAAGCTATTCTAAGATGGAGGGACATGCTTGGAGTGTATTTTCCTCCTTGTCCACAATCTTGCCTTTAACTGAAACTTAAACTAATGTCATCCTTTGCCTGCCTGTCTGTTACACAAGAGTAGAGACTTGTTTCTGTTTTATTTACTTTAGTAACTCCAGCAGGTCACCACTTCAAATAGTAACTGATACATAGTTGGTACCTAATAACTATTTGTTGACTGAAATGATGCTTACTTGTGCTGAGTGCTTGTGCTTGTTATGCCAGATACTTTTATAGCACATTACACATTATTAGGTCATTTTCTCAGCAGCCTCTGAAATAGGTGGTATTATTTCTAGCTTGCATAGGAAACTGAGGTGTGTAGAAGTTAAATAATTCGAATCAAATTGTACAGTAAGTGGCAGAATCAAAACTCAAACAATGTCTGGTTCCAGAATCTGTGATTGTAATCCTTTGAATATACACAGGAATTTTTGATTTTTCACCTACTATAGCCATACTCATAAACAGTTATTCTTGTTGGGTAGTAAAGGAAGTTTTACACACTTCTCCATACCTTTAAATAGGAGTGAATAACATGGTCTTTTGGAGGTAGGCTGGTAGTAGTCTATCTCTTTTGAATCTTTTTATGGTGTGTAAGATATATTAGTTCAAAAATACTGATGAACTGAAAATTCTGATGTTCCTAGATTTGGAGCAAGAGGTGGTGGTGGCCTTCCCCCGAAGAAATTTGGTAATCCTGGGGAGCGTTTGCGTAAAAAAAAGTGGGATTTGAGCGAGCTCCCCAAGTTTGAGAAAAATTTTTATGTGGAACATCCGGAAGTAGCAAGGCTGACTCCAGTAAGTTTCTGTGTGTGTTTTAATGTACAGATTATTGAACCAGTAGATATAGTGGTTAGAGTTTATTCATACACTAGTATTGCTGTTTTACATTTTATTCTAGTGTGGTGGTATTTTTCTTTTTAAAAAATTTTTTTTTTCTTAATCACCTCCCTTCCCCTCCCCCCAGAGGCTGGGTTTTGCCACGTTGCCCAGGCTGTTTTCAAACTCCCTAGCTTGAACAATCTACCTGTTCCCAAAGTACTGGAATTAGAGGTGTGAGCCACTACACCCAGCTGATATTTTTCTTATATTCTTAACTAAGATCAGTAATCCTCATAAAAGGGGGCCAGTTTAAATATGCACTTAATTTGTTCTCATTTGTTGATAATACTTCCTAATTTATTATACATGATTGAAACTGTATTGTATATTAGGTCATGTCTTTTCAACTGTCAGTGAAAAAAATATATTGGTGTTATCTTTTTTTTTTTTTTTTTTTTTTTTTTTGAGATGAGGTCTTGCTCTGTCCCCCAGGATAGAGTGTTGTGGCGTAATCTTGGCTCACTGCAACCTCTACCTCCCAAGTTCAAGCGATTTTCCCGCCTTGGCCTCCTGAATAGTTGGGATTACAGGCACATGTCACCATGCCCCACTAATTTTTTTTGTTTGTTTGTTTTGTTTTTTAAGTAGAGCCACTGTGCCTGGCCAACATTGTCTGTTCTTGTGCCTCATTATCATTGTTTTGGAGTTTACAAATAAAATGGTTACTCTTTCAGAAGAAAGTGTAATAGAAAGAGTACTTGGGTCCAGGTTCCACTTTTTCTTACTCTTCCCAGTTCTGACCTCGGGCGAGTTACTTAAATATTTGTTTTCTCCTATAGAAAATAGAACTCTTGACCAGGCACAGTGGCTCACGCCTGTAGTCCCAGCACTTTGGGAGAGTGAGGCGGGCAGATCGTAAGGTCAAGAGTTCGAGACCATCCTGACCAACGTGGTGAAACCCTGTCTCTATTAAAAACAGGAAAAAAAAGCCCTTAACAGAAAAAAAAAGAAAATAGAACTCTTAATCACCTACATTATTAATTAACTTACAAAGTAAGTAGGAGCCTTGCAAAGTTAAAGTGATATGTATATGAAAGTACTATGTAAACATTTGCCATTGTAACTGTGGGTTGGATAATTGTTCAGCTAGCTTGGAACATAAATTTTGAACGTTTAGAATAACTAGTTTACTAACTTATTTCATTTTTTCCCATAGTATGAGGTTGATGAATTACGCAGAAAGAAAGAGATTACAGTGAGAGGGGGAGATGTTTGCCCTAAACCTGTGTTTGCCTTCCATCATGCTAACTTCCCACGTAAGTGTTTTTCAGTCTAGAACCTTAATTTGTTAAATTGGGTTGAATAGTAGACATGGGTATTAGGTTATTTAAACTTGAGCCAGGATTGGGATTTTGTTGAAAGGATAAGAGATTGTTTTTATGCTCATCTGTTCTTCTGTTCTTCCTTTTTTTTTTAAATTTAGTTATTTTGAGGTGGAGTCTTGCTCTGTTACCCAGGCTGGAGTGCAGTGGTGCGATTTTGGCTCACTACAACCTCCACCTCCCGGTTCAAGTGATTCTCCTGCCTCAGCCTCCCAAGTAGCTGGGACTACAGGCGCCCGTCATAATGCCTGGTTAATTTTTGTATTTTTGGTAGAGGTGCGGTTTCACTGTGTTGACCAGGCTGGTCTTGAACTCTTGACCTCGTGATCTGCCTGCTTTGGCCTACCAAAGTGGGATTACAGGCATGAGCCACCACACCCAGCCTGTTCTCCTCTTCTTGTATTTAGACTGAGAATTTCTTTTTTTTGAGGTTTTTATCTTTTTCTAGGGATTTGTTCTCTGCCTTTTAGAAGACAGCAGAATGAAATTGCTTTCTAGCTGGATATAATTTGAATTTAATAAACAATAAATGACTACCATATTCCCATGTACTGTTAGACGCTTTAGGGTAATAGTTTTCAAATTTTGGGGAGAAGTAGACAGCTATTCTAGCAGCTTTTTTTCCCCTCTTTTTTTGAGACGGAGTCTCACTTTGTCGCCCATGCTGGAATGCAGCAGTGCAATCTCAGCTCACTGCAACTCCTGCCTCCAAGGTTCAAGCAGTTCTCCTGCCTCAGCCTTCTGAGTAGCTGGGATTATAAGCACCAGTCACCACTCCCAGCAAATTTTTATATTTTTAGTAGAGACAGGGTTTGACCACGTTGGCCAGGCTGGTCTCCAATTCCTGACATCCACCGGCCTCATCCTTCCAAAGTGCTGGGATTATAGGTGTGAGCCACCACACCTGGCCTGTAGCAGCTTCTTGACAGCTGGTCAGAGATTAAGTAGATAAAAAGCACTTTGGCCGGGCGCGGTGGCTCACGCCTATAATCCCAGCACTTTGGGAGGCCGAGGCGGGTGGATCAAGAGGTCAAGAGATCGAGACCATCCTGGTCAACATGGTGAAACTCCGTCTCTACTAAAAATACAAAAAATTAGCTGGGCATGGTGGCGCGTGCCTGTAGTCCCGGCTACTCAGGAGGCTGAGGCAGGAGAATTGCCTGAACCCAGGAGGCGGAGGTTGCGGTGGGCTGAGAGGGCGCCACTGCACTCCAGCCTGGGTGACAGGGAGACTCCGTCTGAAGTCTTTTTTAAAAAACCCTTTTGGCTTGTGCCCTTAGTTTTAAACACAATAAAATGCGTAAAATAAAATTCTCTTACAGAATATGTAATGGATGTGTTGATGGATCAGCACTTTACAGAACCAACTCCAATTCAGTGCCAGGGATTTCCATTGGCTCTTAGTGGCCGGGATATGGTGGGCATTGCTCAAACTGGCTCTGGAAAGACGTTAGCGGTATGTATGAGCAAGATAAGATCCTTGATAATGTGGTAACTTATTTTGCTATTCTAATTGTCAACGTACGTTCTCGAGAAGTTCTTCATAAAAGTGCAATTCAGATAGTGTTGGTACTATTTTAGTTATTAAATATATGGAAGCATTTTATGTTCAAATTTGCATTGCCTCCCGTGTATAGATATAAATGGTGAGTTCTCTTTTTCACTTTACTATTTATGCATTAATTCAGTAATTACTAAGATAGTATTAAGTATCTTAGATTGTACTTCTAAGTGTAAGGTTGTCATTCTTCCCCCCGTAGTATCTTCTGCCTGCAATTGTTCATATTAACCACCAGCCATACTTGGAAAGGGGAGATGGCCCAATCGTAAGTGTGTTTCAGTTTGTTTGTAATTCTAAGAAAAACTACAATCTACTTACTATTGTATTTTAGGCATGATGCGCATTATCCATTTGTACTCTTAATCACACCCTCCATATGTGGAAATAGTTTCATTCTCATCTTACTTGGAATTAAATAACTTACCCAAGGCCACTCAACAGTTAAGCTTATGTTTGAACCAAAGTCTAACTCTTAAGCTATGCATACTGCCTTGGTATACACATTTCTTAATTGCTGTATGATGCTGTGAGGAGGGATACAAAAGAGGTATAAGATGAGGTCTCTCTCCTGTGGCTTTTTTTTTTTTTTCTCTCATAAGAAAGGATTTTATTCACTGTCACCCAGGCTGGAGTACGGTGGCACAGTCACCACTCATTGCAGGATCGACCTCCTGGACTTTCCTGCCACAGCCTCCACAGTAGCTGGGACCACATACCCAGCTAATTTTTCAAAACATGTTTTTGGTAAAGATAAGGTTTTACTATGTTTCCTGGGCTGGTCTTGAACTCCTGGGCTCAAGTGATCTTCCCACCTTGACCTCCAAAGTGCTGGAATTGTATGTGTGAGCCACCATACTAAGCCCCTATGGCTTTGAAATGAGATTATACATATGAATTATTTGTGATTAAATAATAGTCTTGTAACTGTTTGTTAGAGCAGCATAATTTTATGGTTTGATCATTTTCATTTATGCTACCTATAAGTTTTTTTTTTTTTTTTGTTTTTGTTTTTTTTTTTTTTGGGAAACAGTCTTGCTTTGTCGCCAGGCCTGGAGTGCAGTGGCTTGATTTTGGCTCACTGCAACCTCTGCCTCCCGGGTTCAAGTGATTCTTCTGCCTCAGCCTTCCGAGTAACTGGTACTACAGGCACATGCCCCGACGTCCAGCTAATTTTTGTTTTTTTAGTAGAGACAAGGTTTAACCATTTTGGCCAGGATTGTCTTGATCTCCTGACCTCGTGATCAGCCCACCTCAGCCTTCCAAAGTGCTGGGATTACAGGCATCAGTCACTGCGCCCGGCCTACCTATGAGGTTTATTTTAATTTTTTTTTTTGAGACGGAGTTTCACTCATGTTACCCAGGCTGGAGTGCAATGGCGCGATCTCGGCTTACCGCAACCTCCACCTCCTGGGTTCAGGCAATTCTCCTGCCTCAGCCTCCTGAGTAGCTGGGATTACAGGCACGCACCACCATGCCCAGCTAATTTTTTGTATTTTTGGTAGAGACGGGGTTTCACCATGTTGACCAGGATGGTCTAGATCTCTTAACCTCGTGATCCACCCGCCTCGGCCTCCCAAAGTGCTGGGATTACAGGTTTGAGCCACCGCACCCGGCCGCTATTTTAAATTTTTTATTTTTATTTTTTGGAGACAGAGTTTTACACTGTCACCCAGGCTATAGTGCAGTGGCACAATCTTGGTTCAATGCAGCCTCCACCCCCTGGGTTCAAGTGATTTTCCTTCCTTAGCCTCCTGAGTGGCTGGCACTGCAGGTGCATGTCACCATGCCTGGATAATTAGTTTTACTTTTTAATTTTTTTTTTTTTTTTTAATAGTAGAGACAAGGTTTCATCACGTTGGCCAGGCTGGTCTTGAACTCCTGACCTTGGGTGATTTGGCCTCCCAAAGTTCTGGGATTACAGTTGTAAGCCACCGCGCCCAGCCTACCTGTAAGATTTAAGTAACAGTCCTCAAACATTTTGAATGTGTACTTTTTTTGTTGTTGATGGAGTTTCGCTCTTGTTGCCCAGGCTGGAGTGCAACGGTGTGATCTTGGCTCACTGCAACCTCCACCCCCTAGGTTCAAGCAATTCTCCTGTCTCAGCCCCCTGAGTGGCTGGGGTTACAGGCTTGCACCACCATGCCTGGCTAATTAAAAAAAAATTTTTTTTGAGATGGAGTCTCGCTCTGTTGCCAGGCTAGAGTGCAGTGGCATGATCTCAGTTCACTGCAACCTCCGCCTCCCAGGTTCAAGCATTTCTCTTGCCTCAGCCTCCCGAGTAGCTGGGATTACAGATGTGTACCACCAAGCTCAGCTGATTTTTGTGTTTTTAGTAGACATGGGGTTTCACCATGTTGGCAGGATCATGGTCTCTTGATCCACCTGCATCGGCCTCCCAAAGTGCTGGGATTATAGGTGTGTGCCATTGCGCCTGGTTAATTTTTTATGTTTTTAATAGAGATGGGATTTCTCCATCTTGGCGGGGATGGCCTCGAACTCCTGACCTCAGGTGACCTGCTTGCCTTGGCCTCCCAAAATGCTGGGGGTTACAGGTGTAAGCTACCACGCCTGGCCTTGAATGTGTACTTTTTAACTTTCTTTTTCTTTATATTTTTTTCTTTTCTAGACTGCTCAGCAGGACTTTTTAACTTTCTTAAGAAATAAGCTTGCATTTGTCATTTGTATTTATGAACATGTACACTATATTTCAAGATATAAAAATGGACTACTTTATATACTACATAGTACATAGTATATGTCTAACAGCATTATCATTACTTAGTATCTAATGGATCAGTACACAAAGCAAGGTTCATAATTTGAATGGTATATGATAACGTTGATTTTGGTATTTTGGCCAGATTAAACACAGTGTTGTCAGATTATATGTACGTTTTCGTTGTTTTTGCCTAATCCTCCTGGTGAAGCGCTTAAACTAGAAGTCAGGAATGTGTCATTCTGCCAGTTTCATGACTTCTCGTTTAGGTCAGGTTGACCATCCAAAATTTCAAATTTTAGGCTGGGCACAGTGGCTCACACCTGTAATCCAAGCACGTTGGGTATAGTCCCAGCTACTCAGGAGGCTGAGGCAGGAGAATCATTTGAACCTGGGAGGCAGACATTACAGTTAGCTGACATTGCACCGCTGCACTCCAGCCCGGGAGATAGAGCAAGACTCCGTCTCAAAAAACAACAACAACAACAAAACATTTTTGAGGACCAGTGTGATTCTCAAAGTAAATGCTTGCTGGAGCATTTTGCATTTTCAAATTTAGGATGTTTTAACCTGTAAATGAGAGTTGTATACACAAAACCAGGTAATAAAATGTGTATCTCCATTTAAATAGTACGTATAAACTATATTGATGGATAATGTGTCATAGTAAAAGTAATGAGGATACTAGTATCATTCCACATGCTAAATATAAAGTTCTAATAATTTTTTCACACATTCCATTAGGTACTAATATTCCCTCCTTCCAATCTTCACTCTGTCACTTACTTTGAATGTACCAGATTAGACAACAAAGAAATAATTAGATTAGTATTTTGTTTTTGTGTTTTTGTTTTGTTTTAACTTGGGATGGGGTCTCAAGTGTCTTTTTGTTGGTTTCAGTGTCTAGTTCTGGCTCCTACCAGAGAGCTTGCCCAGCAAGTACAGCAGGTGGCCGATGACTATGGCAAATGTTCTAGATTGAAGAGTACTTGTATTTATGGAGGTGCTCCTAAAGGTCCCCAGATTCGAGACTTGGAAAGAGGTAATAATATATAGTATATCAGAATTGTTAGTCTGTCTTCCTTTACCAATTCCTATGGATGAAATTGAAAAAGGTGGGTTCTTATGGAAAATTCAGAATTTCAGCAGCTTAGAAATTCTCAGATGTGACTAAAATAGCTATTTTGAGAGAGAAAGTTTGACATGGCTGGAACTTTGATGATTTGGTGATTGTACACAAATCCTGACATAATGCTTTTGCAGGTACTGTGTTGAAATTTAGCTTCTCTGCAGCATTGAGTACAGCCACCAGGGCTGGTGGTGCTTCGTTTAAGTTTTTGTAGAGTCAGGGTCTTCCTATGTTGACCAGGCTGGTTGTGAACTCCTGCCTCAAGTCATCCTCCCACATTCCCTTCCCAAAGTGCTAGAATTAGAGGGGTGAGCCACTGCGCGTAGCCAATTAGCTCAATCTTTGGTTTTGTTTTATAGGTGTTGAGATCTGCATAGCTACTCCTGGACGTCTGATCGATTTCCTGGAGTCAGGAAAGACAAATCTTCGCCGATGTACTTACCTTGTATTGGATGAAGCTGACAGAATGCTTGATATGGGGTTTGAACCCCAGATCCGTAAAATTGTTGACCAAATCAGGGTGTGTAAAGTTAATAATAAGCAGTCTTTATTCCATTTGTCCAAGTTCCTTAGCCTGAAAGAAAGCCTTTCCTTTTTTGACAGCCTGATAGGCAGACATTAATGTGGAGTGCAACCTGGCCAAAAGAAGTAAGACAGCTTGCAGAGGATTTCCTTCGTGATTACACCCAGATCAACGTAGGCAATCTGGAGTTGAGTGCCAACCACAATATCCTCCAGATAGTGGATGTCTGCATGGAAAGTGAAAAAGACCACAAGTATGAAA